TCGTTTTCTCTCCTTTTCGGAGTGTCATGCATGCGGCTGTCCCGGCGTCCCCGGAGAAGCGAGGAGGCCACGACGGTGGTGGCGGTGGGCACGGGCTCCGCCGGGCTCCTACGTGGTTCTCGTGCCCTCAGCCTCGGCCGCCGCACGCATGCTGCTGCCGCTCGCCCCGGTGCTCGCACAGCCCCGATCCTGCCAGCTCTGCCTGCGAAGGAGTGAGCGAGACGGAGCGACGGCTGGGAGGCAGGGGGTGGGCTCTGGGTGATGTCACCAGCTAGCAACAAAGCGGCACCGGCAGCGGAGGAATGAGGGCTGTGGCCGGACCTGGACTCTGGGATGGGCATCTGCTCACTGCCCCTTCCCCAGCACGGCCCCGGGGGGCTGAGAGCCCTCACCGATTCCTTTGGCTCCCGGTTGCAGCACACTCTGTTTCCCGAGCCCCTCAAAAGAAGGAAGGTCGCAACGCATCACAAGGAGCCCCATCCCCGCTGTGCTGCATCCCCACAGCTGTGGGTTGGGATGGAGCTGACCTGGCTTCAGGGGACCGCGTTGTCCCTGTGCCCCACGGCGGTGCCCAGGAGGTGCTGCGCCACGTGCTGAGCGCTCAGCCCTCTCTGTGCCCCCTGCAGAAATGCCTGCACCAGGGGATGGAGCAACACGTGGTGCTTGGATGCTTGTGGCACAGAGCAAGGTAGAGGGAAAAGCATCGTAGTGTGATGTCCCCATGCTTCCTGGGTAGGGACAGGGACATGGACACGGGCAGGGACAGGGACAGGCTGCCCAGTGAGGCAGCAGCAAGAGAACGCTGCAGCACGCTAGCAGAGCTGCCTCCAACTGGTGCTTCCACCTCAGCTCCTGTGCTCCATCGATACATCTGCGCTTCCACGTGATGCCAGGAGTGGATTTTTGAGCAAGGAGTGTTGGAAGAGAACAGCTATGAGAGCGTGGTGCAAAAAGCTCCCCCTGCGTGTGACAGGGCAGCTCCCGTGCTGCAGCTCAATGCTGGCTCTGATGTGACATGGGGACACGCCAGGTGTCACAGCCACGTCATGCTAACCATGGGCAGCACCACCAGGTGACCCACCAGCATGCAGAACCCACGGCAATGTGCACAGAATTGCAGCCTCCTGCAGCTTGGCATGCAGATGTCTCCTAAAAATAAAGCTTCGTTCTTTGGAGATCTTCCCCCCAAACCCAGCAAAGTGACGCACCACCTCTTTGTCTAATGAAAAATTCCATTTCTCATTCAGGTTTTGGTAAATGTTAATGGACTTCCCTGACTCATAACGCTCTGACACTCGGCAAACTCCCCTCATTCGTTCCTCGCCTGGAAACAAAACGTTTCTCCAGAAGCATCCAAATTTGTCATTGCCCTGCATCTGGACACAGCGCAGCGAGGTGGTGGTGAGGGTGAGCTGGGGGAGGCTCTGTGCTACCCGGCCTGGAGGTGCTCCCACACTCAGCCTCCATCTTTGGGCCCAGCCTCCAGGATGCGGTGCAGGCAGCAAGAAGAGAAAATTGGGCCCGAAGCCCAGAAAATAGCAGCAAATTCCCTCTTAAATAAAGGGCACATAAATAAATAAATAAAATCGAGTTACGTACCAGCGCCTAACGTCGTTACTGCCATTACACGAGCGTCATTATTTCAAATGTGTTCTCCAATAGCTTACGACTCAAATAGGGAAGGATTGCTTTGCCGAGTCAGGAAATAGAGGCTGTGGGGTTGGGGTGAGACTCTGAGCTCTGCAGCCCCGGCAGCACGGCTGGGTGATGCTCAGCCCCTCAGGGTGCAGCCATACAGTCAGGCTGCATGTAGGGATCAGTGAGGGAAAAGCAAAGGCAGCACTTGGGGCTGGCAGAGCTCCCTGCTGCCAGGACAGGATCGGCCCCAAGGGCAGCCCCGTCCCCAGACACAGAGATGGAAAGAAACAAAAACAAGGCTAACAGCCCAGGTGGGAATTTCCAGTCTCCGTCAGGTCCCGAGCCTCCTGAAAGCAGCTGGAGATTTTCCTCCTCTTTTATCCAGTCCCCACCTCACAAACCAAAGCAGATTGTCTTTGCTAAGCCTCCCCTTCCCACCTGCTCACCCCGCCGGGGCCGTGCAGCCCCGCAGGCTCTCACATGTGGGCTCATGTGATGGCCAGCAGGTAATGGGACAGAAATAGCACCAGGCTGGGAGACAACTGCAGGGCTCGGGGATACAAAGCCGGCTGCCAGGTAAAGCCTTTAATTCCAACCGTCTGTCTAATGCCCTGGAATGTGACTTGCTGTGATCCCTCACCCCTCCCTGAGAAGGGCGAAAGCAGGAGCTGCTCCAGCTCCAATGCTGGCACAGGGATGGATCCTGCCCTGGAATGGCTTCAGCTTAATTTCAGTGTTTTGAGCAAGGAGCAGAAGCGTGGCATACACACATCCCAGCCTCTCCCTGCACCACACAGCCCTGCGGTGCTGCACAAACGGGATGAGGCAGCACGTAAATGAAGCAAGCACCTGAAAACCCAGCCTGCCCTCAGCACACACTTCAGCCAAAGCTGTAGCAATCGCTAAGCATCCCATTCTGCTGTCAAACTCCAGGTTTAAGTCGGCAAAATTGAGAGCTGATTCCTGCTTAATCCATTCCTTTCCAAATGGAAAGCGCGGCGATGCGACAGCACATCTCCATCGCTTATCAGAGACTCAACAACTGACCCCAAACCAACCCTCTGCTGGAACCCAGAGCTGTGACATGGGGCAGCACAGCTCAGGCATCCTTTCTGCTCTTGCCCCACCAGTTTCAGGCCTGACTGAAGGCACAGCAGGCGTTACAGGTTGCCTGCTTGAGATAGGAGGAGCAGAGGACACCAGGACCCCAGCCCCTTCGTGACCTCAGGGTGTTCAGGGCTTGCCTTGTCCTCAGCCTGCCCTGCTAATAGACAGAAAACATGTTTGGTTTTCTTCAAATGATTGCAGAAGGGGCTTAATTGATTGGCAATGCGTGCCCCACAGCAGCAGCAGCAGCAGTGAGAGATCCTGCCCTCGGCTCCAGGGAAGTGTGTGTCACATCCAACCTGCTCCAACATCCCCTGTGTGGGCTAACCAAAGTGACAGTGGTAATGACAACTGGGAAATGGGGCTGAATTGTGCTGAGAGGCTCCATCCTGGCTGGTGTCACAGCTTTAGGAGGAGCAGGGGTGGCTGCTCCCTGGCTGTATCCAGAGCCATTTGGGATGGGCCCAAAACAGCCCGACTTTGGGCAGGGCGTGATGCTGAACGCACAGCATATGTTGCCATTTCCATGCGAATCCCAAAATAGTCGGCGTTTCGTTTTGTGATTTTCAAAGCACCGGGTTGTGGGGATGCAGGGCAGCAGTGCCTGGTTCACTCCATAGGTTCGGGATGCAGCAGCACACCGGGGTTTGGGGTCGGGCACGGGGCTGTGCCAGCACTTTGCTACCTGCAGGCAAAGCCACCACCTGCTGCACCGCCGATCTCTTGGCAGCAAGGGAGAGCTCTGTGCTGCATCAACTCGTATTAGGCTAATGTTATCTGCTCCCTGTGCCTTTCTGAGCTGGAGTCAGCATCCTCTGAGGTTACCCAGCTGGCTCGCCTCTGTGCTGGTTTGTTTGCCTCTCCCAGCAGGGCCAGGTGATGGAGAGCAGAGCTGCCATCCATCCTGCAGCGGGGCCTCAGCAGGGGCTGTGATTCGGGCTCAGTTCATGTCCAGGAGCAGAGTTAACATCAGCATTTAGGGCCTGGCCCTGTTACCATGGAAATTGATAGACTTTCTGCTGGCATTTCGGTGGGAGGAGGCATTTTGGGCGTCGTGCATTTTGGGCAGGGAGCTGGATGCCAGCAGAGGGAAAGGCCACCCATCACCAGCAGCGTCCTGAGCTCCAGGGATTCGTGAGACAACATCTCAGTTTGGCAGAATTAAAGAGCAATTGGGCTGCATTACGGAGCATTAGAGCAGCTCCTCTCCCACCTACACATCAGGCTGATATCCTGCCAGAAGTGATCCGACCCGAGTCCCTGCTTAGTGCTGAAGGTGCCCGTCACAGACCCAGAGCTCTGTGCTGAGCTGTGCTGCATGCTGCAGGTCTCCCTCCTGGCTCAGCCCCATACCTGCAGGGTCTCACGGGTGGGATGATGGAGGGAGAAGCGGGCAGGTTTCAACCATTTCTTCTAACAAAGCCATCTGGGAGGCACCTCCCAGGTCATTAAGCAGACAGAGGAGTCACTAGATGGCCCTGCTAGTCCTGCTCATCCGATCACAGCATGGATGTTGTGAAATGCTCTTGCTGATGCTCTGAGGGCTTCTCCCGAGCCTGCTCCCTGCTCCCAGCCTCCCTGGGGGTGGAAGGGGCTCTCCAAGACCACATTCCCAGGGTCCATTTCCTTCCCAGCATCCCCAGGACAGCACCACTCTCAGACATCACGGGTCTCTGCTCGGTGTAATCACACTGACAGTGACAGGCATAAGAGCCAGGGAACCATACAATGAACATCGTGTTGCTGGCTAATCATGACATTAGCATTATTGGATTAGAACATCTGCATAATTTGGGTACAAGTCGCTACCTGCACCGGGACATATGTTGACATGAATTTACATCCATTTGCATCCCAATGAAGCTCTTCTAATCACATCATGGGAACACCCAGCTGAGGACAGGGCCAGCACAGCCCCATATGTGTGGGTAGCCCTTCCTGAGATCTCACCCTGTGTCCTATGATTCAGTGATTTGATTTTACAGGAAGGGAGGAGTGAGATTCGATTACTTGAGTCCTGATTCCTAACTCAAAGAGCATCCCTGAGTGCTTCCTAATGCACCTGTAGTGGAAATGCTAAGTCAGGGCTCTAAGTAGTGATTGAGCACCTGGTGAGAAGGCAGGGCCAACCCAGGGGAACTCAGGTGTTTGCAATTCAGAAGGGATAAAGCCAGGATCCACCCCTTCCCAGACCTCATTTAAGGGCTGGCGGTGGAGGTGAGGGCATCTTGCTGGAGATCCCTGTCTATCACAGACCTTCCAAAGGTAAAAGTGGATTTTCTTCTTTTATGTCTATGGGTGCTTTGTTGTTGCTTGTTCTCATTTGCTGTAGCTTAGGATTGTGCTGCCCTGCTGGTATTACTGTAATTTCCATCACATCATAGAACCCCAGCCCTAAAGCTGCTACTATATTCCTCCTGGGTTCTTCCAAACACTGATAAAACTGGGCAAAAAGCTTGGATGCAGCAAGTTGGTCCATTTCCAAATGCAACTTGCAGCCTGGGCACCACTGCATGCTTTACAAATAACAAGGACTTATCTGCAAGCCTGTGAGATGCACGCAGCTTCACATGGGAGGCTATTGGGATTAAATGTGTGAGCCCAGCACAGCTTGAAGTGCTCAGCTGCTGCAGTGAGCAATGCTGCTGTGTAGACAGGGTGCTTCTCCAGTCCCACTGTCTGATGTCTCTGGGCTCTGTTCACCCAAACCAAATACATCTCTTTGGCTCCTCTTTTCTTGTTTGGAAGTTGGAAAGCAGAGAAAAGGCATGAAAATGCAGTTCCTGTGGGGGAAAGCAGTGCTGTGCTCTGAGCATCTCAGAGGTGGAGGAACCCCACTCCCCAACATGTTGGGCTGCACAGCATCCCAGCAGCAAGGAAGCACAGCCCTGGTGCTGCAGTATGGAGCAGAGAGATTTGGCCTCAGCCACAGCATCTCCCACCCACCTGCTCTGAGCATCCTCTGAGCCTTCAAAGCCTGCCAGATAGCATCCGTCTGCTTTAATGGCCCAAGCTATTAAAGTGGGGGATGTTTCAAGACTTTAAACAAGCATGTCAAGAACAGTGGCTGGAGGGCAGCTGGGAGCTCTGTGTGACTTTAGTGAACTTGCAGCTCATGCTTTTGCTGGCACGCATGGTACTTCACCTCAAAGCAATCTCAGTACCTGGAAACTTCTGGACTTGTGTATGAGAAGTGGAGACAAACCTGTCTGAGAGGTCAAATGGACCTGATCTTAGTGGGAGAGAGGAAGGAAACCAAAATTTCTGGCTCAAAAGAAGAGCATGTTTGCATGGCTGCCACCAGGTGCTGATGCCAAGGGCCACAGGCAGTGAAGGTGGGAGTGCAGCACCAGGAGGAGGGGGTGCACGTATGCATCATTGCTGAGACATGGGGCAGAGCACCTATGTGATTTATGGCTGTGTAGATGGGATGCTGAATGCTGACTGTCGGTGTGTTTGATCAGCCTGGGGCTGTCAGTGTGGCTCCCAGCTGGAGGCACCAGATAACAGCAGCAAATTAACCCCATTCCCCTCCTTCCCTTTTGTAGTGGACATCTCAGAAAAGAAAAAGCAGGGAGGGGAGGCAAGCCCAATAAATCAGGCCTGCTGCTTCTCTTCCTGCAGCACTGGGGATGCTGCAAGGACCTTGGGGCAGAGCCTGGGGTACATGGAGCTGGGAACACAGCTGCTGGTGCTTGAAGAGGTCAGAGCCCAGCTCTTCCCAAAGCTGTGCATGGAGTGGATACAAGGCAGCACAGTGAGAGCAGAACTGGCACCAAATACCCCAATGTGGGGCGTGGAGCCTGCTGCAAGAATCAGAGTCCTGTATGCTTCCCACTTTGCAGAAGCACTGAGATGGGCTACATGTGATTTCTGCCTTCCCTTTCCAGCCCTCTCGCCCTCCTCTCCCTGCCTTTGAGAAACAGATGCACCCATTCATAACCATGCAAAAGCAAGTGCGCATTTGCCTTTCCGACTGCAGTGCAGCTGGTGAGGCACAGGAGGGAAAATGATGCTCTGTATGAATACACAAATTATCCGCGCTGATCTTATTACGCTCGAATGGCAAACGAGCAGAAAAAGAAAACATGAAAGAGAGAGGCATTGTTTGGGCGGCGCCGATGTAGCATCATTATTGTTTATCCTCTCAGAGCACTCCATCATCCTAATCCCTCTGCCTCCTGCAGTGATAGGTCAGCGTGGAGCAGTGGGATGTGGTGCTGGGAGCCCCGGCAGGTCGAGGCTGAGCATCCCGTAACTCAAGGCATCACCAGTGTTATAAAGATCCATGTTCTGCAATATGCAGGGGTGAGATAAGAAGAACCCAAATCCTCTCAGAGGTGTTTTTATTTGTCCCATGGGTAACAACCCAAAGCCACAGCACAGTGGTAAGAGGGAATAGAAAGCAGCTGTGCTCAGCATCAGCCCTGAGAGCATCCCATTGACTACAGTGGGGTCCTGGGTGTAGTAAAAGAGCTTTGCAGCCCCCCAGGTCCTGCACACCCAGGTGTGCAGAGGGCTGGGGCAGCTCCTCCTGGTGCAGAGGCATTTGAGCCCGGCAGCTCATTCCTTGCATAGCAAACAGCAATTATGGGGAGTGCAGAAAAAAACAGCCACGAGGTGGGAATCTGAACAGCTCGCAAGTGATCTGCTATCAAAATGAGAAAATTAGTGAGTTTCCTACTTAGCACTTACTACATCAAGGTGGCTTGGCGATGCTAATTAAACAGATATCACCTAGATGCAGCCAGGGAGATTTACAGCCCTTGTTTGCATTTCTTGGTTTATTTTTCCATCCTCTGAGGCAGTATGAGAATGGCCACGGTGCAAACCCAGCCTAGAGGCAGTAGCAGCTCCTGTTGAACAGGTTGCTCCAGCAGGATGGGGCAGGGGTCTGTAACTGTGTGCAAGGAGAAGTGAGAATTGCCCAGAGCTGCAGTCAGTCCTGATGGGAAGACCCTGAACAGCAGCAAAGCTCCAGCACAGAGATGAGAGTGGGAAGGGGCAGAAGTGCTGCCTATCTGCTGCAGGGCAAGGTTTTACAGACAGCTCCCATTGTCAGGCAGGGATAGGGAGAAGGAAAAGAAATGTAATGCAAGTGCCTTCAAACAAAAAGCACAGAACCTTGGTGTCACACAGCTGGGCTGGCTCTGTTGGTTCTCTGCTATGAAGGCAGTCAGTGGAATTTCTTCTGCAGTGTGAAGGTGCAGAGCAAGGGTTTGGGTGTGGGGATGCCTGGGTGATGGCAGGCAGCACACATTGTGCTCCCACCTCCGGGCTGCTGTGGGTGTACACTGCAATATCATCATCTTCTGTCTCTCAAGCATCGCAGGCATCTCAGTGCTACCTGAACGTACTGCTAATCAGCCCGTGGTCAGGGATGAATGCGAATCAACAGCTCTAGTGAGGAGCCTCCTGCAAAATGCTTACCCATCACCTGGCATCTTGCAACCTGCTGAAAGGCTTGTTATCTGATGGCAGCATCAGCCCTTCCAGACAGCTTCCCAACCTCTTCTCCCATCGCATCCATGAAAAACACCTATCTGAATACCAGTGGGATTTATGTGTCCTGGCTGAACCATGGCACACAGCTCCTACATAGGAAGAGTTCCCTTTCCTTTCAGTCTGTAGCTGCACAAAGCAAACCCAAGCTTGGCAGTTCACACCCTGGGCTTTCGGCTCTGAGATCCCACAGCTGACTTCCTCATGTGCTGGTTGTTGTCATGGCGAGCAGAGCATGGACAGGATGGCACAAGAGATGGTGGGTTCTGGGAGTTCTCCATCCTTGGACTGACAGCAGCTCCCCAGCACAACAACCCCAACAGCAACCATCCGAGGTGCTTTTAGAACAGGAAAAGCCAAACAGATGGAAAAGCTGCGTGAAACCTTGAAGCTGAACTCAGGGTGGAAGGGAAGATGGAGCAGCCAGGGCTGTGCACACTCAGGGAGCAATGCAGAGAACACTACCTTGAGCTGACTGTCAAACCAGAGCGAGTGATGAGCTTTGGGAGGCCAAGGGACAGCACTTGACAGGGTGACATCCAGTGCTGGTTTGTGCTCAGTGATGGCATGGTAAACCTTTCTCTCAGAGGGGCTGAGGAGCAGACCTGTGCCAAGGCACCAAAGAGGGGCAATACAACAAAGGACAACTTTCAATGCAGAATTCAATTACACTCCTGCTGTGTGAACCACTGTTCCATGGCTGGGCTGTTCTCTTTCCCTGCTGGAGCCAGACGAAGGATTTGGAGAGCATCTGCAACCTGGGAATGGGAAAAGTGCTTTCCTGTCTCAAGAATGGTAAACAGTTGTTCCAGAGCCAAAGCTTTATTGTTTCCAGTAGTAAAACACTACATAAAAGTTGTAAGGGAGGGAGATGAGGAGAACAACAAAACAATAAAAGCAACACAAACAGAGTAGATTGAGCACCATGCAACACAAACAGAGTAGACTGAGCACCATGCACTGAGCCCTTCTTGCCCTCTTTGAGCCAAGTGAACAGACATCAGCATGAGCTACAGAATACAACCAAGAGAGTTGTGACAAAGGGGAAGGAGAACTTGAAAATAGAAACGATGTGCACAGTGCTGTGTTCAGTCACAGTGGGATGGGGAGGTCATGTTCTCCTGGGCTGGATCCTTCCCTTACCTCACATGCAGTCTTCCTATGGATGGCAGAATGGGCTTGGTGACCAGGTTTAACAACCACTTTGCTTGGAGCATCCCTCACTGGACAACAAGCTCATCCCTTGCTCTCTTCAACACCAATGCTGTGAAACTCATGTCCAGGCATTTCTCTTCCTGCAATCTGTGTCACCCAAAGGCTTTGCCTTTGTTTACCAAAGAGCAGAAGCATAACGGAGGAGCAGTTGGGAGGACTTTCCCAGCAATGTGCCATAGACTGTTAGCTGGAAAAGCAGTAGGGGAACAGTGCTCTGCTGGATGATATTCATTTAGAAAGAAAGTCAAGGATTGATTTCCAATCTTCTGTTGGAGTATTCCAGCACCCGATCTCATTTATCTTCGTGCTGCAGCCATCTGTAAGAGCATACACTACATGCACACGAAGAGCCCAGCAGCAAAGGAGCACTGAACAAAAGAGTAATAACCAAGGGAACAGGTTGATATTAACAGGCATGAATTGCTTTTAGATCCACGACTGAAGAGGGAACTTTTTGGAATCCTTCGTTTCTTCAGCAAAACAGGGGTCAGATTCAAAGCATTTCATAAAAATGCACAGACTCCTACTTGCCTAGAGTGAGCTTTTGTTCAAGCCTTTAAAGATCTAATTGCTCTAGAAATGTCAGGTGATTTGATTTTTCTCATCAGCCAGGCCTCGGAGGGCAATTGTCCATCCCAGGGAAGCAGCAGGACTGGGGCAGAGCTCTCAGCCTGACTCACTGTGACACCATCACTACAGCCAGATGCTCGAGACTTCCAGGAAAAAGGCACAATGCAGGCCCCTGTTTTGTGCAGGAGATTACAAGGTGTGCACGTGGGAGGAGAATCTGCAGAGCTTAATGAGATAAAGTAATTGGAAAGCTTTTAGCTGATTTGGGCAGCCAGCTGTGGGTGTGGGTGTTCTCCCACCCAGAGCTGCAGTGCTTGCACTGCTCTTGGCCCTGCTGCATTGCCCACAGTGCAGGGCGTGATGACCAGTGGGCTCACTGCAAACTTCACCATGCCAAACCAGGAGCAGGGCTGGCCTTAAGGAAGTCCCCATTGGTGCCAGGCAATGTCCACAGTGAGGTCTGTAGGAGAGGGTAAGCGTTGGGTTCAGGCAGCTCAGCTCCATCTTCACCTCTGTCAACACCGGGTTCTGCTGTGGGTGCCCCGTTTGCCTTCAAAATAAAGACAAGCAAAAGTTTACATAGAATCATTCAGATTGGAAGAAACCTCTGGGATTCCCATGTCCAACCCCAGCCCACCATGCACAATGTCCACAGTCCTCAGTGCCACATCCTCATGGTTCTCCAGGATGGGGACAATCCCACCTCCCTGGGCAGCTGTGCCACTGCATCACTGCTCAGCCACACTCATGTTCCAGTCCCTTCACCTGCTTTGTTGCCCTTCTTTGCGTGAAAAAGAGTGGAGAGACTTGATAAAAGTTATCTGAGATTGCTTTTAGTTCCTTGGTGCCATTTTAAGAGCTTCCTAAAAATAATAATGAAGAGAACGACTGTGCATCATTACTCCACACGCTGTCAGCAGTCAGGGCCCATTAAACTTTATTAAAGAAAGAAAAGACAGGCAAATTGGGAAAGGAGGAGAAAGAAAAAGCAGTGCTGATGGAGCTGGTGTTCTGGTACATCACTCAGGGCAGGCAGAAATTCAAACCTCAGCCCCAGAGGTTTCCAAACAGCACCCACTGAGCCAGCCCTGCCCCAGCTGGACCAGGATGTGAGCTGGGTGGTGGGCACAGGACAGCAGGGCTCGTGAATAACAGGATGATTCAGGTTAGGAAAGACCCTCTTAGATGCTCAAGTCCAACCCCACCCCACCTTGCCCACTGACCACAGCCCTCAGTGTCACAGCCCCATGGTTCTTTACACATCCAGGGATGGGGACATCACCACCTCCCTGGGTAGCTGTGCCAACACACCACTGCTCTTTGGAGAAGTTTTTGCTAGCATTCAATCTGAACCTCCCATGGTACAACTTGAGGCCATTCTCTCTTCTACATGGGGCCCAAAGGACCCTTTTCTGGATCGAACAGGACACAAATTATGCTGGGTCCAGGAGAGACAACCAGGACTGTCTGCGGGAAGCACAAAAACAGGAGCTTCATCTCCAGCTGCAGACCTCGTTCCAGATATATTGAGTGAAAGAGACAAGAGAATGAGTCTTTGTCATCCCTCTATTTTCAAGGAAAAAGCCTTCAATTTAAAACTCCGTGAAGAATTACAGAAATGGTGAAAGTAATTTATTTTTTTTAAGCGAAGAAAGGCTTGAGAAGCCGACTTGAAGGCGAGGCTCAAAGCAATGGAAATGTTTTGGTTCTACCACTGGAAAATGAAAACATTTTAATTCCTTCAAACGTGGGAGGGGGCATTGGCTTCTTCTGAGGTTCCTATTTAGCAGCGCATTGTACCTAAAGCACAAACCCTGAATCACTTCCCAGCTCTGTCACTACTGGAAGACATGTTTTATTTATAAATACAGGGGGAGCGTTTGCTGCTCTGCAGCACCGATAGGGGAAGGCAGAGGCAGCTCCAAGCTTCTCAGCCATGAAGGCACAATTCAGTTTTTTCCACTTGTGGAAGAGGGACAGCTCATCCTCAGCAGCAGGAATGCTCAACCCCACATCAACGGGGCACAAATGGGGCAGGAGAGCAATTAAAGGGAGAAGAGACAGCAGCAACTTTCTTGCCAAGTGCAGGAAAACAAAAGTCACCTCCCCAAAGACTGCCACCACGAAAGTCATTACAGAATTACTCTCTCACTTGGAGCCTAATTAATGTGAGGACAATTTTGTTGCTTTTTTTTTTTTTCCCCTGCATGGAATGAAGTAGATCCAACGAAGTGAAATATTACCTCCTTATCATCCTTGAGGGAGCAAACCAGACATCCGAGAGACAGAAGCGAAGGCAAAGACGACGGTAATGGTTTAAACTTCAAACATGGCCTGAGAATTCCCTGTCACAATAATAACAGAGCAGCTCTGCCCATCTCCTGCATTAGCAGCTTGCATATTTATGAGTCAGAATCGATGCCGACCCCAACCAAGGAGGCACTGAGACACGGAGGGAGTGACACCACCTCCTTCCTAAACCCAATCAATTCCTGAAAGATGGGGCACAAATCTCCCCAACGGATGAGTGCTGGAAGCAGTGCTCCCTGCCCAGCTCTGGGCTGTGCTCCCAGCTCCATGCAGGGGGATGGCACCCCGAGCTGCAGCTTCGGTGCATGGGGAGAAGGGCTCTGCTCAGAGCCCCTGCCCTGGCTGCCTTGTTTCTCTCAGCCCACCTGGATCTGCCATTGGTGCTCAGCTCCCATACGCTGCTGCTTAACGTGGCTCTGCTTAACCGCCAGCTGCTGCACCTCTCTTTAAGTATTAATGATTTAGACAACACGGCACAGGAGCAGAGATGGAGAGACTGTGATTTGCACTCAGATGCACGCTGCTAATTAGCTGGTCTTGTGGCTGCCTTGCCACATCGAGGGGAAGTACAAATAATGCCTTTCTCCAGCCCTGCACCCCAAACTCCCTCATCTTACCCTGCCCACAGACCATCTCAGTGCCCCAGCGACCACCAGTGGGATTCACCCACTCCTCCACAAGTGCCCTGCAGTGGGGACCCACCAAAGAAGAACTGCAGCCCATCTCCTGTGCTCTTAATAAGCTCCCTGCAGCAGCCAAGCCCCAACCCAAAGCTGTAATCTCCATTAAAAGCTCTCCATGGGCTAATGAAATCCATCAAAATATATGGCTGGTTTCTTTGTTTAATGCTGTTTAATTTTCCCTTTCGTTAATAAAAACGTCGTAATTAAGAACAGGGAGGCTTTTGCTCTTCTCCCATTAAAGGAACAACACATCAACTGCACAGCTGAAGAGAAAGGAGTCTCTCCCCACCCAGGCAGGGGCAAGGAAGGGGAAAAGGGAGAACAAGCATTTCTTATCTGCAATTTTCCTTCTCTTCATGATAACAGCCTTCTGCAAAACCAGTGCACGACCACCCCTACCATCCATCCACCCATGGTGCTCAATGGAAAGGAAGACAGGAGCCACAGAAAGAGGAAGAACAGCCTCAGAGCAGGCACAGTGCTTAAGGTTGGAGGGCACCTCCAGAAGTCTCCACCTCCAGGAATTGGACCTTCACAATGAGAAGAGACAACGGGACCCAAAAAACAACACTTCTGAAAACAAGCAGCAAAAAAAAAACCAACCCAGCAGCCCTTGGCAGCTCCTCAACTCACTGCTCTCTTCTCCAAGTTTGGCTCAAGGGCTGAGGTTGCCTAAATCCCAGCGCTGCGCTGACAATGAGTCACTCCATGACAAAGCCCAGGCTTCATTATCTGCCTCACCAATCCCCAGCCGGAGCTGGAGCATCATGCTGGAAACCTGTAGAACTCTTCCTAACAGCTCCTTGTCTTCCCTTGGCCTTGTTGGCTGTGTGACCTTAGCTCAGGACTGTGCTTGCAGCATCACTCCCTACAGCCTCGGATTTAAGGGTGCCGAATGGTCCTGCCACGCTGTGCTTGAAAGCAGAATGAGAGCAGAGGTGAGAATGAGAAAAAAGAAGAAAATCACTGCCAGAGCAACACCTGAGGTGCTAATACAAAGCAAAAACTGCTCCCCAGATAGCACTACAAAGTTTCAGAGCCAAAAAGCAACAGCAAGATCTGCCTTTAACATCCTTATGGTGCCACATGGCACAAGGGGTGATGCACCTCCACCTGCAAACCCTGAGCTGAGCAGCCTCTTTGCAGCAGCTGGGACATAAATGGCCCCAGCCATAATGAAGCTCTCCACCAATATTCTGGTTTAACCTTCTCCTCAGCAGGATGCCCTCTGAATCTCAGGGACTGTTTTAACTGGACTCATGTGATCATCACAATTTTCAGGTTTTTTAATGTACATCCATGCTGCATGGCATTTTAGCTCTCTCCTGCCAGCAATGAGAGATTCCCACTGGAAAGCACTGTCTCCTCCTGCCAAGCTTTGCATAAAAGGGCTTTTTTTCCGAGAAAAAAAAAAAGGCACTTTGTGCCTATGAGACACAGTTTGCACTGTCATGGCCAGGCAGCAGCCAGCTCAAGTAGCAGGAAAGCTCCAAAGTGCTGAACCTTGTACAGACAGCACCCAGAACAGCCATCAGCTGCATCACAGCACAGCCACGCAGCACCACGAAGCAGTACATCCACACAGAGCCCTGTGTCCCTCAGCACAGTCCACAGACCAGCACTCCATGGGAACCTAAAGCCAGCAGGGGCTTAAAAATAAACCACCAGTCTGGGGCAGCACTGTAATCCAGAGGATGGATGGAGCAGAAGCATCACTCAGCTGAATTGCTTTGCAAGAAAAACAACAACAAAAAAACCCTAAAATTAAAGAGAACTGCAAATCCCTGAAATTTGCCTTCAGTTGAAGGCTATTCCTAGCAGGCAGCGTGGGGAGGGGAACCACAGCTCCATGTTACACTGAAGGATAAACCTGAACTCTCTAATCCAATTTACACCCCAACACCTGCAGCACAAGAAGGGCTCGAGAACAAAGCAGTGGCAGCTCACGGGGTGCAGGAGCACTCTGGAGGGAGCAGTGCTAAATGATAACTTAAGGGGTTATGGAATACATTAACAGCAACTGCAGAGAGAGAACATTTGCATCTCTTTCAGCTGCTCCAGATCAAATGTGATGGCAGCTCTGCTCTCGCAGTCACTTAATTGTTCCAAGGTTGTCAAGGGGGAAAGGTGTCTTATTCTTTTTTCCCCCCCTCCTTCACTGCAGAGCTCTGGAAGTAGCCATGCTCGGCTTTAAGAGCTATGTAACATTAGGAAGAATTTCTTTCAGTCTCATAAAGCTGCTGGATTTGCGCTCTGCTGCAGTAGCACTCAGCCCTGTGCAGATGGGAGCTCCTTGCAGGGGACAGCTCGAGGCTCTTGGTGCTTCCTGGGCTGGCTGCAGGAAGCTCCAACCCCGGGCCATTACTCATGTTGTAGAATAGGTTCTGCACAACAGGAGGAGGGAAGGAGTGAGCTGTAACGCCGTGACAGCGCCTGCCACCAGCACAGCAGGGAGAGGTGATGCCAGGCCACAGAGCTGCACCTTGCAGAGGGCTCAGCTTAGAGGGATGGCATCCCCCATCAGGGACATGCCCCACAGGGGATGCTCTGCTTACCTGGGGCTCTGCCGCTGCTGCTGTCGTGCCCATCTGCTCCCTGGTCACTATGGCAGCTCTCTCCCTGCCCACTGCCTGCACTGCTGTGGCTCCCAGACACCCTCATGGGACGGCTGGGCTCCCCAGAGAGCACTGTGGGACACAATGGAGAGAAGAGGGTGTTTAGCGGGGAAAGAAGCAGATGAGGCCAGGTCTTAAAGGACCCACCAGCAGTCCGACCCATTGCTGCTATCTGAGTGATAACGGGCCAATCCCACGCAGCCCAGTGGCAGCAAGTGGCAAAACCCACATGGAATGTTAGCTCCTCACCCTGTCCTGCTTGCTGCTTTCCTCCTGGAGAGCCTTTTGACACTGCAGATGAGGGCCCGTCCTCCTGGCTGGAAGAGCTGAGCTCCGAGTCGCTGTCGCTAGAAACCACTGTGAGAAAGATGAAGGGGGAGGAGGAGAGGAGAGAGACAGTTATTCACAATGTTCATAACACTTACCAAGAGGGTGCCAGATGGATCCAAATAAAACACGAACAAACGCTGACTCGCTGATCGCATCTCCCTCTCCAAAAGCAGCACTACCTGCAGTTCTTTCACAGCTGTTTGTGCTTCCTCTCAAACACCAGGCACATTTTTTTCCAGATGATTTACAGCTCAGCAGCACACACACCCTAGCAGTGCCAGCACCTGCAGCAGGTGCACACACTGCCAATGCTCCCCTCCGGGTCTCATCCAGGATCACAGGCAGCACACACTGCTCCCACTGACACCAGAGAGAGCCTTCCTGCTGCAGTTTGCAGTCTGATCTCAGTGCTCTGTTCCAACCTTAATAACTCTATGATTCTATGCTAAAGGCTGGGCTGGGTACAAGACAGAGTCCTGGCTCCACAGCAAGAGGATTTACAGTTGGTAATTCAGGCTGCGGATCCAGCCCTGGGCTCCTCCAAGCTGCAGAACCCCTGCAGAGGCTCCAAGTTCTATAAGGAAGGCACCAGGTAAATACGAAGCACATCAAACAAGAAAAACCCCACAGTGATGATACGAAAAACCCAACTTTATCAATCCATCCCTCTCCACACACTGCCCAGAGCTACATTACTCATATGCCCCCCAGGCAACAGCATCTCCTCTTCCTCAAGGAGACTCTCCTCCCATTCCAAGGTCTCCCTGTTTCCATGAATCCCAGCCCTATTCCCACTGCTTCCCACCCTCCATAGTTTCTACAAAGGCTGACAGCTTCATTTAACCAGACACAACCCCCAGACCAGCAGCTTGCTTCCACTTCTCCACGCTGTTATGTGAGCACCTCTCCTCCATACAAATAACTGGGCTGCCAGCTGCTCAGTGCAAAATGAGAAAGGTGTTTCCCAGCAGCTCCTGGACTTTACTAACAGCCTGATCTCAGAACAGAAGTGCTGAGGCTGAGGAAGGAGTTACCCACTTTGCCCCTGCATTGTGTTACTGGTACAACCTGGATTCACACTGCTGCAGGGCCGTGGGTGCAAGGGTAGAGGTGTCAGTTCACCTCTCTTCATCAGCATTAAACTCACTGCATGCAACCTGCTGAGCTGCAAACCCTTTATCACAGCCCAGGGCATGAGGGCTGCTATTCTTCCCCTTGCACAAGCTGTCCAACACTGCTGCCAAGCACCTCTGCACCTGCATTCAGTCAGCAATCTGTACTACACAAAATATTTTATTTAAATTTAAAAAAAAAAAAGTGTAATCATACTTAAAATAGAGCTTTTCCAGAGTTACCATGTCTGAGGATATTAAAGCCAGTGTTATTGCAAACTGTGCTGATGTGCAGCTCCCTGTGCATGGGACTGCTGTGCCCTGGGGACAGGTTGCTGATGCCCTACTGCCAACCCCACAGCACGGCCCCTTCCTGCCCCCAAACACTTCACACCAGAGCAACACTAGCAGACCCCTGGCACAAACAACGTGTGTGTACCTTGCTGCTACAAAACCCAAACCTCAGCTGCCAGAACCATTCCATTGTCCTACTGCACCTTGGCACTCATAGAGTCACAGGACTGTAGGGGTTGGAAGACACGTTTGGAGACCACCCACTCCAACCCCCCTGCTAAAGCAGGCTCCCTGCAGCAGGTCACACAGGTAGGCATCCAGATGCATCTCGACTCCAATCCTCTTCTTTTTTTGTTTGCCTCCAGAATTCACAACACCCATTGCCTCCCAACAGCTCCTTCCTCCGTGAATCTTTTAAAAAATGCTGGAAGTCAGGATTTATTTAGAGAAGGCCCCAATGAATCAATGGAGGTGACTTTAGCTGCCTACCCTTCTGCCACTCAGCAGTTCAGAGCGGTCCAGCACAAGAGGAGAAAGATATTAATGACAAGGAGGAACCTGCGCCACAGGAGCAGCCCTGCCTGCTCTCATTTCCTTTGCTGCCAATAGAAATGTGTTTTACCCACCACACCGATGTTTCCCTTTAAGGTAATTTTTCTCCCAAACCTCACAGACCTTTTACTGGCACTTCCCAGAGCCCAGAAGTCGTAAATCTGCTCTTCCAGCAGTTGCTGATATATCAATAAGAGTCATTGGATGGCTGTACTTATAGAAAACACAACAGATTTATTCCTCTCCATCTCCAGCTGACGGGAAAAAAAGCTCATAAAAATAATAATAATAATAAAAAACCCTAAAAAAGCCAAAATGCAGCTTGCAGCAAAAGCAATATCCCCACAGGGCCGGGTCACTCGTGGAACAACTCCCTCCATCACACAGCTCAGCCTCCAGCAGCACAGGAAGCAATGGGGACAGCTGGGCTGGGAAGGCAGCACCCAGTGAAGGGAGCACTAAGCTGGGGTTCAGCTCTCATGTTAAATGCATGCATCTGGCACGAGCGTGGCTGCACGCAGCCCTCATGCCAAGCAGTGCAACGGCTTAGGGATCATGCTTCCTTATTTTCCTATTTCCATGCAGTTGCTTCCCATCCTCCTGCAGAACTCAGAGCTCGGAGCCCTGCTGCTGGCTGCTCCCCATCCCGCCTGACCCGGTGCAGAATCCCACCCACATTCCACCACATGGAGCAGAGCTGCTCCCCAGCACCAGAAATATTACTGCTGTTCTCCCTACGACAATACATTTGTGCCTTAACTAATAGCAGGGTTCCCATGGCAACTGCTTGTTTATTACAGAAAAACTCAAGGCAATGGCAAATCCCAGCGTTAGCGAGCACGAGAGAAATAATGGGTGTATAAAAATAAAACTTCTTCCTGGTGGGCTGGCTCTGCTCCCAGTAGGCACATTCCTGCAGTTCCTCAGTCCTGTGCAGCAGGCACAGCGGGGAGTTCCTGAACCCCTCAATGATCACTTCCCCAAAAAGAGGCACTTAAGTGTCGCCCTGCCCCTGCTGAAAGGCTGCATGTGGAAGGACATCACTGCTCGTCTCTCCTGGGCTCACCAGGGGACATCATATAACCATTAAGGTTGGAAAAGACCCCTCAGATCCCCAGGTCCAACCCCAAGCACCCCACCATGTACACTGACCACCTCCCTCGGTTCCTGCACACCTCCAGAGATGGGGATCCCAACACCTCCCCGGGCAGCTGTGCCATTGCTGCACCAATCTTTCTCCTCATATCCAACCTGACCCTCCCTGGTGCAACATGAGGCCATTACTTCTCCTCCTATTGCTGGTTACACAGCTACATCCCATCCACATTGAGAAGAAAGCTCATCACAGCCAAAGAGCAGAAGTCCCAGTGCTGGCAGGTGCAAAGAAGGGGTGATACGTACAACCTCCCAGCTTGCATATCCCAGGGATAAATTACAGCCACCAACATCCACTGGAAGCCATCCAGAGGACAGGCAGCCTATTAGAGAAGGGCAATAAGGGAAGAAAACACCATAAAATAAACCCATAAATCACTATTGTCCCACCCATAAAACAGCAGCCAGCCAAAACTTGGAGCACAGCAAGAAAGACATCTCAACACTCACACCAAAGCTTACCAAAGGCAGCTGTGTCATCATCCCCACCTGCACCTGCCAACATGTATGGGAAGGCATTCCCCCAAAACAAGGCTCAGCTACAACTCAGGACAAGTCTGGGCTCAAGATCTCTGACTCGTGGTGTTTTCTTCATCATGTGCACAGAGAATGTCTCATCAATCAGTTCATTTGCTAAGACAGCCCCTTCCAAGCATCTCCTGGAGGGAAGCACAACCATCTATTGTTGATCTAATTTGCCTTTAATTACAAAAGTTACAATCGGGTTGGGAGCGCTTTCCTAGCTGGAGCCTAAAGAGAAGCCTTGTAAACCTGATCCTCCGAGTCCTGTCTATTAAAAGGTTATTTCCCCCTGCAACACTGATAAGATTTAGCTTGATGTGGAAGAGCGCACGCTGTCGGTACACCAGAGAGGTCTTCTCCAATTGAAGGGGCCTAATAGCAAAAGACAGAAGGGGAGACAGGCCAGCCAGATCTGTTAATGCACACCAGCAAGAAATGAAGAGAAATCAAAGCAGACTGGCAGCAGCTTTAATTCGGCAGCATCCATCCACCGCTGTGCTAATGACCCTGAATGCTCAGCTCCTCAATGCCGTGCTGCTTCCCCCCAGCTGACTCCAGGCACAGCACTGGAGTGGGTGTATGAGCAATGACAGGGCGGACAGATGGAAGCAGGGGGGGGGGGGGGGGAAGGCCCTACAAAGCAGTGCTGTGAATGGGATCCGATAGGGCAGCGATCCAAGATGCCACATGTGATACATCGGTCTACTTCAATCAAGGTCTACCTCAAAGAACAAGGATGGGAGTGATGGAGCTGATAAATCTTCAGGCTTGTCAGTGCTCCGGCTCCAGCCCTGCACGGGGCTAAGTTAATCAACAGCTTTTCCAAAGTGCACGTAGAGAACAACTCGGCTGCAAAGCTCAGCCCCCTCCCCAAGTCCTCCACTCTTTGCTGATCTCAAGGAGCACACGACCAACCTTTGCCCCTGGCCCAGGTGAAGGAGCGGCCCGTCCCCACGCTCCCTGCCTCCAGCACAGCAGCCTCGCTCTGCCAGGGCTGCGAGGGCACCTCACCAGCTCTGCTGCTGCTCTTCAGAGGTGTGATGTACTTGGGCAGCCCTTTGTAAAACCACGCGCCGGATCTCTTCCAGACCTGTTGGAGACAGAGACACAACCAACACCTGAAGCCGTGATGAACAAGTGCTGCACCTAACGAATGTGCCTGAAACCCCCCCAGAACAAGAACACTCAAATAATCTGATCCTGCAGTGAGCTGAGAGAGCTGAACTGTAATATTTCTTGCAAGAACGCCCTCTACTCTTCAACCGAGTTTTAATGCGGCTCATGATGAAGACGCTCTGTTAAGTCTATTTAATACAAAGCCTGCTGAGAGCCAAGAGGAAGGGGAGAAGATGGCAGCTCAGACAAGGAGAAATGGTCTCCAAAAACCTAATTCTTTTGTGCCTTCCAGCAGTCTAATAATAAGCTAATGAGGCAGCCAGGGCAAAAAGAAGTTAATATCACCATTTCATGCAAGGAAGTAGAAGCCTTGTACTTCTGTTCAGAGCAAAGGAGATCATAAAGGTTTCTACTTGAAGTTCTCAAAGCATTTTATATGTAGCATCACCACGATGGCAGCAGGTACAAATGCAGATACCTCTCATTACAGCAATAAGTTTGCAGCTTGCATTTTAACCACAGGGCTTAATCAAAGCAGAGGGCAGCGACAACACCTGGCGCTCGCAAACAGCTCTTTCAGCACAGAAAGCAGAGCACTGCCATCACCATCTCAGTGATGAGAGGAGATCACTCAGCAGATTGCCCGGTTCCTCCTGCAGAGCCATCAACACAGAGAGCTAGAATGGTCAGGGTCATGAAACCCAGGTGAAAGCAACATGCACTCCGAGCAGCGCGGTGCTGCAGGAGGATGCGCGGTCCCTGCAGGGCAATGCTGGGGAGGAAGCAGCCTTTCTTGACAGTTGTTATCCGAACAGACCTTGCAACATCTGTAATTTAATTTGAAGCACTGGAGAGACCTATTATCTCCAGGCGAACTACAATTTCAGCAGAACATAAAACCAATCAGACACAGCGAGGGATGCAGTAAGGAAAGGTTGGTCACCCCCAGGTTCTCCCATTACCCCCAAAGCGAGCCCAGCTAGAGAAGGAGTTCAGTGATACAACACACCCAGCTCTCATCCAGTAATACAACATCGATTCTGAGCATACAGATTCACTTCTAATACTTCGCTCCCATTGCAGCAGTACTGAAGTCGTTTTGAGATCAGCTCTAAAACAGCTGCAGCTTTAGGGAGATGCTCCCCCCTGCAATAACTCAGCACTTTGCTCCCTGTAGGTTTCCAGCACGACCCCCCCCCCACAACGACACAGGGTTCCAGTGCTGTCCTGCACTTGGGCACGCAGGTTGGGTTCAGCCTGCATCCATCACAACGAATCGATGCCGCTGACTGCTCGTGATGCTCGTTTCATTGATTGCCAGAGTGGCCCAACAGCAAAGCTCCTACTTGATTTTAAATTAATACATCTATAACGGTGCTTTGGAGTCCTGTTTATTAGCAGGTTTGCTCTTTGCAAGGAGAAGAGTTTTGCTCTCACCAGCCCTTGACAGAACAAAGATGTGCATCAGTGCCACCCCAACCCAGGATGCAGAAGCCTGGAGCACAGAGGATCATCCCTGCGGTGGTTCAGGAGCAATCCTGCTGCTCCCCAGCCAAGCACAACAGAAATCCATGCTAAATATCGACTGCCTTCAGGCTGCTGTCCTTCTGCCTCCCCTGACGACTCATCCACCCAAAAGCAAAGCATGGGGAAGAGGAATTGCTTGAGCCAGAGATCCTCTCTGCATTACTTAGAACTATTCAACAGCCATGACAAGACCGGAGAGCTCAACGCATTTTGTGACCCCAACGACACCCCCATCACAGCTGCACCAATCCACCAGCACAGCCACAGGATGAGGCTGCATGCTGGCAGTCAGCAGCAGATGCACACTTTATCCAGCACTCTCAGCACAGCCTGCAAATGGAAAATCACCAGGTCCTGCTGACGCCCCGCTCAGGGCTCTGCAGAACTCTGCTTTCCCCCTCTGAAAACAAGGGTACTGAACAAGCTCCTAACCAGGCCCAGCCTTCTGGCTGCCATACACCCCAGAATCATTAAGGCTGGAAAAGACCTCTACAATCACCCAGTCCAACCTGCAACCCAACCCCGCCGTGCCCACAGACATCACCCCCAGCTCTGCAGTCCCCATGCGAGAGAGAAAGCCGCTGCTGTGAGTTCCTGTGGGCTCTTTTAGCAGAACAAAGCACACCTGCAACCCAGGAGGACACGGTTGCCATTGCCCTCACGCAGCACATCCCACCCACCCCGCTGCCACAGCTCCAGCACGCAGCAAACCGCTGGCAGGGAGAAAGAGAGCGCGCTCCTCAGCCTCGTTATTTGCATTCATCTGCTTTTCCATAACGCAGAGCTTTCCAATTACATTATTTACAGCAATCTGTTGTCAACTCCCACATTCGGCACTTGAGGATGAAGAAAATTAAAAGGCGGTGAAATTGTTTGGAGCTTTGTTTCTGGAATAGCAGAACGCGTTTCACCTCCGACCCCAGCGCTCCTCCAGCAGCAGTGCCTGCCTTCCTCCAACCATTTATCGTTCCTCTCTCAATCACACTCTGGCTTTTTCCCCCGTGGCTCTGTTCTAAGGACACTATTTGGAGTCGTCCCACTTGCTGCCGCCCCCCAAAATAACACGGCAGGCTACTGATGAGTCCTCTGAATTGCAAACAGGTGCACATCCATTGCATGCAGAGCCACCCGAAATAAACACTCCCCTCTGTCAGCACGGTGTTTGTTTGGCCGTACCAGGCTGGAATAACCCTGAGCTATGTTGCTTCATGATGTTCAAAGTGTACAAGGGAAAAGGGAAACCCTGGGGGCAAAAGGGGAGGAGATGGCTGTTTGTTCCAGCACAGCAATCTTCCTTTCCTCTGCACGGTTTATTTTGATAAACCCAGAGATGCAGCCAGCCATGAAAATGTCATTTAGCAAAGGAGAAGAAATTAAAGGGAAAATGAAGCAGAGGGGCAAATTAAAACTTTAGCAGGTCCCGAGAGCTGACACGCTCCTTCATTTTTGATGGGGTTTAAAAAAAGCCATCTCCCCCCACCCTACTTAAACTGTTTTCATTATCACTACAATTTTGGATGTGTCAATTCAAATGTAAATGTGTACGAATGCTTCCAAGAGGGTTTTAATTACGATGATAGCATCGCTAATTATGGATATGAAAAAAAAAACCCATATATGAAGCGGTGGTTCAGCGAGGTGCTGTGCACAGCCTGCTGCTATCAGCCAAAACACACAGCAAACAATGCATGCCTGACCCTCTGCATTCGGTCTCCAGATAGGCAACGGAAGGTGCAAAGCCAAGAGAGGTGATGCAGCACATAGGAAAAAAGGTTCCGTCCCTTTGAAAGCAAACATAAAATGCATGGAATTTGCTTCTGGAGCAATAAAACACAATCCATGGCAGCGATAGCTCCGCCACACTTGGAGGATGTTGCAAAGGAAAATGCCCACAGAGCCCTGGAAGAACAAAAGTGTTTTTTCAATGGATGTTTCTGCAAGCACTGGGACAAGTGTCTCTCCAATAGGCTGCTCCTGGCTTAGCTGTGGCTCTGCCTTATTTCAGAGGTGTCTGCTGCCCCTGGGGATGCTCCCTTTGCCAGCAGGCTCTGCCAGGTCCCAGCACGGTGACAATGCAGTGCTTTTCCCTGTGCAAACACACATCACACAGAGCAGCTCCAGTGCTACTCAACGTTTTGCTTCTGGATGACTGGGATGCAGGCAGCAGGCAGAATCCATTAATCACCTCCACTCTCCAGAAATCAGACTGTCAGAGCAACCTGGCTCTCACTGCTATGCAGCACAGCCTTCCCAGTGGAGGTTTTCAAGGAAACAAAACAGCAAAGAACACTTTGGAGCTGCAGAGGCTGGGGTTCCCAATGGGATCTGTGGGCATCGAGCACTTGACTCCCACTGAAAAACTCTTGTAAACAACAGCCTGTTACATTGGTCTTCGTTTTGACCCAGGTCACACACTGATGGTTTAATCACAACTGAAACCATCACAGATTTTGTCCACACAACGAAGGAGCGAAGAAAATTAAACCATGTCACTACATTTTCACTAGCTTAAGCCAAGCCTACGGGGATAAATAACAACAAGATGGAGGGATGAGAGCTGATAGCTGATGTATGTGAACGTCCAACACCACCACCCTGCCTTCACATTCTGACTTGTTCCAGGAGATCACGTTTGGTCTCCAGAAAGGTAATGCAATGCAGAGGGAAAGAAGGAGGAAAGGCCACAAGCTGCTCCCTCTTTGCATGGCAGGGCTAAAGGGACAGCTGCAGTCCAAGTGCTGGGATCACCTACCTCAGAAAGGTGACAATGGCTTGCTAATGCATCACACGACCCCAGGTGTTTTTGTGGGCTCCTGTCTGGATCCCAGGACACAAAACTGGGCCAATACCCCCTCACCACACAACAGATTCAAAGGCCAGATAGAAACAAGACTCCGTGATCCCAAAAAGCAGGTGTCCATCTGCACTCCTTGATGGCAAATATAACCTTCAGCAACAAGCATGGCCAAATGGGTTTGGTCCAGAGCAGATGGCAACACAAGGCAGATCCAGATCACAGCAACAGACAGAGACAAGGAACTGGTGGTGAACACAAGAGTTGTTCTGCATGCACTCTGTCCTGTCATGGCACCCAAAATGGCTTCAGGGACAAGCCAGGCCACTGCAAAGAGGGAAGGAGACAGACCTGAACTGACCTTTGTAAAGGAATCAGAAAAAGACAGACGAAGCTGAGGGCTGTGAGGTAAGAGGTGGGTATGTTTGAGGCTGTCTCAGGGGGAAAGTTCCATCCATTTTCATTAGAGAAGCGCTCTGGCCGTATCTGAAGGTTACCATACCCCTGACACGGCCACACGTAACACTGGATAATGTTCTTCTCTGTCTGTGGCTGCTCATTATTTTTATAAGAAAGTGGAAAAGAAAAAAAAAAGCAATTAAACATTGGGGAGCGAGGGGAAAAATATGAAAAGAAGAAATGAAGTCACTTTCAATTCCATACCCATCTCCCAGCACAACACGGAAACTGCCCTGACCTGCCACACTTCAGAATGGCCATCTGGATTGCACAGCATCTGGACGAGGCAGTTCGTTAAGCAATTAGCAGCAGGATGCCCTCTGTTTGCCCCAGCCACGCTGCCACCCAGCAACCAAAGGTGGGCACGGCCCTCATCCTACCTGCACAGCAGTTTTCTGGGTGCTCCCACACAGATCATCTCCTCCTGTTTAAAACCTGAGCTGTGCTACGCTCCCACAACTCCTACAGAGACATTCTCTGCCTCAAACACCTGCAGAAATGATCTCACTGCACTTCAGAAACTGACGGACGGGTTTCAGGAATAGCTGCACTGGGTGGATGCTGAAGGACCACGAGGGGTAAATCCTTCTGTCATCACCAAATTCAGCAGCTCCGCTGCAGAGCAATGAGCCCTGGGGCTGAATGGCAGAGGAGGATGAGGCAGGCCATTATTTACAGCAGTGTAAAGTCAAGGATGAAGGATATAGAAATGCAGAGACCTGCATCAGAAGTCTCACATGGTGGCGATGGGATTTTAAAGGCGGGTTTTGGGGGGGGGAAATGGAGCTGAAAGCTGCAATTGAGTTATTTTTAGAGGGACAAATATTGCAGATGTATTAAAGAACCAACGTTAGCCAGGCTTATTTGCATGGAGCCAGAAGGAAAACAGCGTGGCAGCAAAAGGCAACAGCATCTTTATAACCACAGCTAGGGAAACCCCACAAAGCAACACACAGGGCAGGGGACAGAGCATTTATTCCCCCCCATCCCATCCCAAACTGTCACCACCCTGTGCATGGCCTGAGCCCAAAGACCCCATCCAAGCCTCCATCCCAGTGCAGCCCACTCTCTCCCAGTGCACTGCTGCATTTTACCTCTCTCTGTTCACTGCAGATCTTGCACAGCCAAAGGGGACGTTTCTGGGCTCCAAAGGTTTCGATGCCGCATTTGGTGCAAACTTTCTGAAAGAAGGGGGGGGAAAAAAAGGTGGGGTAAGCAACAGCTCAAGTCCATACAGCCCTCAGCAGAGGAAGGCTGAGAAGCACCTGCCCCACCAGACCTGCTCTAATGCGTTCCTTAAAGTAAATAAACATGGCACAGTTCTCTTATTTATCTAGGATAAGCACATCCAAAAAGATGCTTCAGGTCTATGGGGGTGCAAGACAAAGGCAAACCTACAGCACAGCCCTTGGCTGCGGGTGAGAAGAGAATTGGACAGCACAAATCGATCCTCACAACCTACAGACACTCCCAGGGCCTGTTCTTTTTTATTCCTCCAAATCCTAAAACCCAATCGCCGTGGTGGGGAAAGCAGCTGCAACCAAGCACAAAACGAGCACAAGTTTGTGCAAAACCATAAATCCTCTCCTCCCTTCCCTACGTACAGCCTGAAACCCCCCGGCTTCCCTTTGGTTTCAGCAGCTTGGCAGTATTGATTTGTAGCTGCCGAGGCAGCGGGCACGGATGCACGTTGCCTGAGCAGAATGCTTGATAGCAGCACATGGCAGCTTATTGCTGCACGAGGGACCTTTCACATCTCCGCCAGCATTATGAGCCATTTACAACCCCAATCACCTCATATCATATAATGAAGCGGATGTGTATCAGGCTTGGCTTGCAGTGGGGAGAGAAATGGGATGAGTTCTTTGATCCTCACAGAGCAAAAGCTGCTCACAGCCTGGAAAGCAAAGCCTGACTTAGAGAGGGTCGATGCCTGTGGTGCTTTAGGAAGGGCAGAGGAATAAAGGAGCAGCTTAAGTGCTTTGGTGCTTAGATATTCAACATGGTGCTGCCCAAGCCAACAAGTGCAGGCAGCAAATGGTACCGCAACTATCATCTTCATAACTACCCCAAATTCTCCCCTTTTCAAAGCAAAATCTGAGGGAGCACCTCAGCCATAAATGCCCTCACAGATCCCGATCCCTGCACGTATAGGACATTCAAACGCTCCCTCTAGTGGGAGCTTCCAAGTGCTTTTATTCCCAGCCATAAATACTGAAGCCTCCAGCACAAAAAGCGGGCTCTCCTCCTCCCTTCCCTGCAGCCTACCTGGAAAACTGAGTGTCACCCACATCCTCAGAAGGCATAAAACCAAGGGCACTAAATACAGCCTCATTCCTAATTTAACACAAGATAAAGCACTTTCTTCTCCTACTTCTTTTATATGTGGTCCTGATACCCTCTGCATGGTAAACTGCACATTATGCTCTAACTACTGCTAATGTTAACAAGTCTGTGTTAGCAAACATCTTTTTCTTGCCATAATGCATTTATTCCCAAGGTAATAAAAAAACAATATTAAAATCATTCTTCATTTTGACCTATAAATGCTGAAGCAGGAAGTGGCACTTAGAAAATCCATCAGGCAACAAGAGCTATAAAGCCCCTATTCAGCAGAAGGGATTCATGGAAGATAAGTCCTCTGCTGCATCTCAGATGTATCATTACAGCAGTCCCTGTCATTGGGCTAAATGGGCTGCAATGACTTTCCAATGAGATGGTATGAGAGCAAAGCTAGCAAGAAAAATACCAACTTATAAAATCCATAGCTTATAGTGCTAAAACTGTATCAGTGATGGATATTGCTGGGCTGGGGATGAGCTTTAAGCACCAGCCCACTCTGCGTGCTCTGCTGAGGGCTGACACCAAAACAGAAAGGGGACGAGCCCAGGGCACCCCGCAGCTTTTGCCTCCATGCATCAGTGCATGGGGCTCACAGGGCAGAGGTTAGCAAGTGCTGCAGCAACATGACCTAGCTGGCTTCAGGTGAGAGCAGAACGGCCACGGGAAGGAGGCAGGAATACGGCACATCCTGTTATTCTGCATGCTTGAAAAGCAGGAAGCAGCCAGCCGCCTCCTGTCTGCCCAGCAGCCCTTTATTCTCCCCAGGCACGTCTGCACAGAGCCCACGCTCCTCTCCAGGAGCTGTCCTGAAGTTCCCCTTCATGCCAGACCCTTTGCACCTCAGCACCTTCCTGCTGCTTCCTTTCCCAGCCCTTCCTATAAGATCTGCTTTCCTCCCAGCTGAGGACCCAGGGGTTCAGAACTGGGTGTTTGCCACTGCCTTGTGCGTGATCCTGTGCAATAACCCCAGCCTCAGTTGCTTCTGAAAGCAGGAGCCAGCAGACTCGGTCCAGCAAAGGCAGCAGTGCTCACAGCAGCACGGATGGAGTGATGCTGGCACCTCGCAGGAGCTTCTCCATCACAGCTGCCCAACACGGAGCTCCCAACACATGTTAGTGCAGAGCATCCATAGGACATCTCAGTGATGGGGTGGGTGGCATAAGTGAGAGTCCCCCTAGCTATAGTTCCCCTAGCTATAGTTCCCCAGGGACCCTTCCATCCACCCTAGCAGTGGCACCCACAGGGACCCTCACCACACTGAGGCAAAGCCACTTACAGAGACATCTTCCTGGCAAAGATGGCCTTCAAGTGCTGGAGAAGCAGCCTCCCAGCAGAGGGAGGATCAGGTGGTTGCCTTGGAGATCATCATCTCCACAGCAGTGAGGCTTAACCCCTGCCTGTCTGGGATCCCAGGCAGCAGTGCAGGGTGTGGGGAGCACAGCTGTTTCTCCTGCATGCTGATACTCCAGCATCTGTACAGCCTACCCACCAACACACCCCACCACCAACACACAGGGCGATTCGTGTGTCAGGGTCAGGAACTTCACACTAGTTTAGAACACGAGTCATAGAACCATGAAGGTTGAAAAAGACCTCTCAGATCCCCTCATCCAACTCCAACCCATCCCCACTAACCCACTCCCACCACGCCCACTAACCACATCCCTACATGCCACATCTCCACCTTTCGTAGGTCAGGCACTCCAGGATTGCAAGCAATGAAGCAAGCAGAAAAAACCTTACAGCTTGACAGCACCCACCCAGTTAAGCAGGACACACAACCCCACAGAGTGATCCATCTCTCCACTTTCACAAAGCCCTGCTGGCTCCAGGCAAGATCCCCTGATGAACAAACCCACCTTTTTGCAATCCTGGCAGAAAACTGACGTGCTCCCCAGCAGCCCCAGCAGCTCACTGCACAGCAAGCACTGCGACAGCCCGTTCCCCATCGCGTTCTTCCTCATGTTCTCCAGCCGCTCCACCAGGCGCCTGCAGGGAACAAAGCCAAGTGGAGGTGATTCCAGATCTACAGGAAGAAGTCATGCCAAGTACCTGCGGGTGTGTGCCCCACTCAGCCTCCCCTCTGGGATTTTGGGCTTTTTGCTGGGGCTGAATGTGCTTTCGCTTCAGCCTCTGTATTCAAGCATTTCCTCAGGCTTGTTAGTAGGAAGCGTTTTGTCTTTGGAAAAGTGATGCTGCAGTGGCACAGCTGCTCAGGGAGGTGGGGGAGTGCCCATCCCTGGAGGTGTTTAGGAACCGTGGGGATGTGGCACTGAGGGAGGTGGTGGGGTTGGATTTGGGGATCGGAGAGATTTTTCCCAGCCCTGAATGATTCTGTGATTCTATGAGCTGGATCTTGGTCTCCCTGCTTTGGGCTGACTGCAGACCCAGCCGAGGCCAGATCTCCAGCAGGACTGAGAGCAAATAGAAATCTACAGCAGCAAAAAGGGAAAAGGTGCCAGTAAATGAAATAATTCAAGCTAACAAACCCCTTCCAGAGAACTCAGCCAAGTAGAACACAAACCCATTCACTGCTCCAGGCAAAATCCCACAGGGCTGCTGCTGCAGGCAAGGGAAAACCCGAGCGTGCTGCCAGGGCTGGAGCCGTGCTGTCCACCAGCAGTGATGCAGCTGCACAGCTCTGCATTTCCCTGAGCCCATTCCACAGCCACTGCCTCAGCAGCTGCCTTATCACAGGCTGCATTCAGTGGCACCGGGTCAGTGGCTGCAACCACAGCAAGCCCCAAGGCTCCAGGAAGGCATGGGAAACCATCTTCCAACCTTCCCAGTGTTTGTTGCCTCCAAACAAGCAACGCGGCAGGGGGAAAATGAGCTGAAGGGATGCCCTAAGGGCTGGAGGCTCAGCTCAGACACTGGGAGAGCTGCACCTATGTCTGCACTGTTCCCATAGGGAAGGAACAAGCAAACGTACCCAATGCGCTGCTGCTCCACAACGTCCAGCTTCTCTGCCTTGCGGATGACTTCCAAAATGACCTCAAGCTCCTGTGGGCTCAGAGCCTGCATCTTCCTCTGCTTCTCTGTCTGGAACGTGTGCACTGACCAGCCTGTCTGGAGCCTGTGGGGAGGGACAGACAGAGAAACTGAGCTGTGAAAGCAAAACCCAAGCCCTGCCATACCAAGACATGCCCAAAAACCACGTCCTTCAGTGCCACATCTCCACAGTTGTTGAACATCCCCAGGATGGTGATTTCCCCCTTCCCTGGGCAGCTGTGTCACTGAGCACTGCTCCTTCAGAGAAGAAATTTTCCTAATACCCACCCTGTCTTTGCAGCAATGGGCATTGATGCCAGGCACCACGGAAGCCCTCAGCAGACTGCAGCGCACAAGGACTACCTGCACCATCTTCCTTCCAGCATCTGAAGCCTTTAGGAACTTCCCTGCACGCCTATGTACTAAGCTGACATTTCTCCTTGGCTCGCTCAGAGCTTTCACAGCTCAATTAATAACCGTTTAGTAGGAGTTTAGAGGTCACTGGCTGAAGTCAGGGCTGCTGGCAGAACGCAGGGCACTATCGCGCCCAGCTATTGTAATGAGGCACTCAGGTGGAGGCAGAAGCACTCAGACAGACATGGAATGACCCATAATTTTCCAGCAGCTGACCCCAGGGCTCAATCAGGAGCAGTGGCAGCGCCGGAGAAGCAAAGCATCCGAGTAAGAAATACAATTCTGGCACTTGACTCATCTCCATCCCTTCATCTTTAGGTTACGCAGTCATTTAACTTCAGGAGAAAATAAGACCAGGTGACAAGATCCTAAAACAAAAGAGCACTGGGGGATGCTACCAGCTACACAGAAGGTGTATATATACAGCTGCAAAGGTGCTGCTCTTCCCTTCAGCCAGCTGGGACTCACTTGGCACGCAGAGCCAGCTGCCGGTCATTGGGGCACACCCAGGGGCCCGTCCCACTGCCAAAAATCGTGTCGGCCATGGCACACCTGGAAGGAGAAAAAGCACCGTGAGGCACAGCCGTCCCAAAGCGATGTCCCAGAGGCGACCCGCCGGCGTCACACGCCCGCAGACAGCAATAAAAGCATGCCATCATCTCTGTGAAATACGCGCCAATAAATAGCTCCTAACGCTGCACCGAGACAAAGCTGGGAGCTGAGGTTTTATAGCGCTCTGCAAAAGGCCACGGGCTGTCAGATCCGCTGCCATTTTTCATTTCAAAGCCAGAGAAAAGTGTTGTTTGCTACGATCTCTGCCCCGTCACCTCCGGAGCCCCAGCACTGCAGTGGCTCTGAAGGACGGGAGGACGCGGCAGTTGTTGGGTTTTCACCTCTTAATGGGGGTAACAAACAAAAGCCCACGCGACAATCAGCACAAACAGTGGCAAGGTGCTCCGTTCATTAAAGCTGCCAGTGTAAGAGCCAGATATTTATAACACAGCCCACAATAGCAGCTTGTTTGCATGTGCTGGAGGCAGCACCTCTCCCAGCAGCGCTCCTCCTGCGCTCACACCGGCACCCAGAAGGGCAGCCAGCAGATTTCAGCCCAGGCACTGCGATGCACCGAGCCTTCCTCCCACCGGATCAGCTCCCTAATGCATACATTTCCAAGTATTAATACTTACCTTCCCCACAACAGACACATGCCAGCTTTAAAACCATACCTGCTGAGCAGAGATAACGCGCTTAATGCTGTTTGGCAAACAACACATCAGATCCAACAGCAGCAAGTCCCACCACCTGCCAACCGCGCCGTAATTCCCAAGAAAACACATGTTCCAGCCTCAATTCACAGCACACTCACCCAGTGCTGTGGCTCTGCGCCTGCACCCACGCCTGCTGCTGACACTGAGCTTCCGTGCCAGGCACAGAGCCCTGCAGCACACACAGCCTTGGCCCTTTTATAGCAGCAGCAGCTCGTGCAGATCGATCCAACCCTGTGCTGCAATCAGTCCTGGCATGGAGCGCTGACCTGGGCTGCACAGCACATGGTGCAGCTCATCCTGAAGGGTCGGCCCTAGATCACAGAAGGGACCTTTAAGGCCATCTGGTTCAAATCGCTGCAAGGCGCAGGGACACCTGCAGCTCCATCAGGATCTCAGAGCTGCTCCAGCCCAGCCTGTCCTTCCACTAGGCAAACGTGGAGCAAAGCACAGCCCGTGCACCAAAAGTGCCCAGCACTGGGAGGTGCCTACCTGGAAGTCAGCTCTATGACAAGCACTTTGCTGCGCACACAGGGTGGGATACAGCATCCTGCCCTGCTCTGCAGAGCTTTACCTGCTCCAACGGGGCTGAAGGCAAGTCAGAACGTTGCAGATGGCTCTGCACTTTGCCTCTGCAAGATGCTCAGTTGGATGCAAGTGCTTCAGTGGAGGAAATAAGAACACTATGGGACTGCAGGCTCTGCTGGGGGGGAACAGGAACAGTAACGGGGTTGGAAAGAAAGGAACACGCATGGCCACAGGACTGATGACACCAGAATGGGGACAGCACAGAGCATCCTCCCTCTTATCTCTGTCCAGGACACGGAGTGCAGCACAATCAGCCTAATCAGAAACACCAATAGCAGAACCACACCAGGCTGGGGAGTCATCTCCATGGTCTGCAAGGGAGTTCTCTCCCTCCCATCATCCTGCGACCTGCTGAACAGCCCTCCACCTGTTTGCTCCTTTCCTTATGATGGAAGAAATCAGGCAGAACAAATCCTCATTAAAGCTGTGTGCACCTGGCTGTGCTCAGCAGTGAGCCAGCAACATGAGGGGGGGAGAGGGAAAATGTGGAATCACACCACTCTGCAGCTCTGCAGAGGGGAAACAGCAGGGCTGTGCTGGTGACAATCCTGCAGTGGAGAACTGGGGGTCCCTTCCTGCTGGGCAGCCCTGGGGAATGCTCCAGGTTCTCATCCTCCTCCTCAAATGGTGACTACATCACAGCTAAAGCTGAAAGGTTTTGCTGACATTGAGCTGCCTGCAGGTGCCCACAAACCATGAACTCCTCGCAGCCCTGCAAACACCACAATGCCCTCCACAGACCCATCAGGAGCTCCCCAGCCAGTTTTCACGGCCTGGTTATTTCAGCTAAGCGGCTCGCAATCTGTTTTAATTTGTTTTTATAGGAAATTAATTAGGCAATTATTTTTTCTTTTAAATACTTTAAAATGAAACAAAAACGAAGCAGTGGCACAGAGCTGAGCTCCTGCTTCCCAGCTGCTGTAATTACCTCTCCTGCTCCGAGCTCATGGCTTCCCCCAGGACCACCACACACATCAGTGCCATCTCAGCCCCACGTCCCTTCCAGCCACTCCCACAAAGACATGCTGTAATTACTCTCTGCTCTGGCACCAGACCCCATTATCCCCCATAACCTTAGCAACTGAGAGAGCATTCGTTCCCGTTGCTACGACAGAGGAGAAATGAGGGAGATAAGGGCACCAGGCTGGGCTCCATCAGTGCAGGAAGGCCATGAGGCTGTTTGAAGGCAACGAGTGATGTGACTGTGCCCAAACAAGCACCAGCCTCAATCAGGGCTTTGCTGCTCATACAATCACAGAACCATGGAATCATTAAGGCTGGAAAAGACCTCTCAGACCATCGAGTCCAACCTGCCCACCGTGCCCACTGACCACATCCATCAGTGCCACATCCCCACGGCTTTGGACCATCTCCAAACAGAGCACGTGGGGAATAAAACAGAAAGTTCCCATGCCCCAGAGCTGCTTCCAGCACAGCAGCAATGGCAGAAGCCCAACTGCATTAAGACGGCGCTTATTAAAGACATTACAAAGCAAAATGCCCTGCAGGTCCATGCCAGTCCTGGGAGGAGGAAGATAAAATCAGCTCTACAGGAAAACTGGCACACGGTACCAACGAGCCTGTATTAATGAGAGGCACCCATTAACGTGGCTGCTTGATATATGGTGAGCCACAAAGGAGCAGGCTCTGCCCAAGCAGATCCACTCATCCTGCAGCCCACAGTGCAGGGGAGGGCAGCCAGGTGGGTCTGCAAACGTGGGTCCATCCATATCCATCCAGCCTCAGCCCTGCAGGTGCTTTGCTGGGTGCATAATTCATGCTGCTCAGCTCTTTGACTCACGTTCTGGAGCAGCCTGACCTGGCACAGGGCTCCGAGAAGCAAATTAGCATCTAAACGGCCAATTAGAGAAACTAATTTCTCTATGCTGATGCACTACCTAGCTCAGGAGGCCCGGGCAGAACACGCAGCTCCAGCCTCGAGTTTCTTAGAAAGAATTGGACGCAGACAGGAAAGGCAGAGCCAAGGAACCGTGTGCCATCCCCCGCGGTGACCTTGCACGAACCAGGAACTGCCCTGCCAGCCGCCGGCTGAGGCGGCCACGGCCACTGCCGCTGGGGAAACGCCGCCTGAGCATCCCCGAGGTCACACATCCCCGCTGAACGCGGCTGCCGGAGACTCCCGGCCGTCGCCGGGGCGAACGAGAGGGAACCGCGGACTTTGACCCAGAGCTGGGGATGTGCGCAGACCCGACGCCCCGGGACGGGCACAGCGCAGCACCCAAAGGAGCAACAGCGGGACGGTGCCCGCACGCGGCCGCACCCGAAGCCCATCAGCCTCACGGGGAGCGCTGACCTTCGGCCCCGCACCTCTCGCCCATTCCCCAACCCTCCTCCGCTCCCTCCCAGCCCCTTGCACGTCACCCGGCCGCGCTGCAGGCGCACTTGGCAGCAGTTTACGGGACACCCTCCCGCTTTCGGAGCCTCCTCCCAGCAATAGCACGGGGACCGGCACCCCGCCCATTCCCCGCAAGGCTCCGCCCGAAGTCCCGCTCCCAGCGTCGGGCTCAGCCCCACCACCCGCGGCTTCGTCCCCTCTCAGAGCCTCTGTCTTTCCGTCCGTCCGTCCGTCCGTCCGTTCCCTCGAGGCTGCGGCACAAACGGAACGCACCTGCACGGCTCGGCTCCGCTCCGGGCGCCCCCGTATGCAGAGCGCCCCCTGGCGGCACCGCGCCGCTGCACCGCCCCGGAGCGGAGCGGGGCGGGGCTGCGGCCTCGGGGCCGGGCGGGGGGTGGAAGGCACCTGTAGGGGAAGGGAGGGGGGAGCAAGCAGAAGGGAAGTGAAGGGGAAAGGAAAGAAAGCGAGGTAAAAGGAAAAAGAACCGAAGTAAACGAAGTGAAGCCAAATAGTAAACAAACAGAACCAAAATAAACCAAGAGAACCAAAATAAACAAAGAGAAGGAAGCAAACCAACCCTACAAAGCTCCGAAGGGTGGAGCGTGCTGGCTGTGTGCACCATTGGGAAGTGGCACTGATGGGGCTTTGTGCAGAGCTCTGGGCTCGGATTGGGGTCAGAAAATCGGATTTTGTCACAATGAAAGGAATTCATGCCAACCTGGTGTTGGGAGGTGCGTTGCTTCAGTAAAATGTCACCTGTGTGTGCTTTTCCAGCAAGCCTACAGTGGTCCCCTAGCTGCCATTGCAGCCCTCCATCACTAAGGGGATGGGGGGGATGAGGGGATGGCAGCCCCGTGGAGCCCCATGGCTGAGCTGTGGTCCCTCTGCAGCACTGTGTGTCACAGCCATGCGCAGAGCAGTGCTGGGTCCCAGCCAAGAGGACAAGCCCAGGCAGCCCTGGCTCCATGGCTGTCCTGGAGACATCACCAAACAGGAGAAGGACGCGGGGAGATGGAGGGGAGAGCACTGAGGAGAGGAACAAAACAGGGAGGTGAGCAGAGAGATGGATGGGAAGGAAGGGGATGGAGGGTCGAGATGGAGGGGCTGGGGAAGAGGAGGTGATGTGCTGAGGGCAGGCAGATGGGGCTATGGGGCAACGAACATCTCACCACTGAATCCCTTCCCTCCCTTCCCAGGCTTGGGAGCTGCCACAGTGGCAGGCGGGCGTCAGGGGGCCAAGGGCTGCACACGGGGCCTGGAGATGCCAGCAGAGCAGAGCACTGCTGCCATGCAAAGAGGTGAGATGGGCTGGGGAGGTGAGATGGGCTGGGGAGAGATCACCCAGCCACAGCTCGAGGCCAGATGTGGACCTACACAGCTCCCACCGAGCGCTCCATCTGTGGCCATGTATGTAAGCACACAGTACAGGTGTGGGAGCTGTTAGGTTAACACACAAATCTGTGCTTCCCAAATGTCGGTAGCATTTTTGATTCCTTATTAATGGACACGTGCGTGGCATAGCAAATACAGGATTATTTCATCATCCTTGTTACAAAGAAAGAGCAGAAAAGCCTGAGTGCAGTGTATAGGTTTTGGCTAATTGGGCTGATACCACACCAGCAGGAAAACACCACCGCAAACACAGAAAGCAGAAGGCTCACCCTGCTGCACACCGTGAGGACTTCGGCCATGGGAGGAACTCTGACTCAGCCCAAAGTAACGCCAAAGGGACACAGGTGGGCACGGAGGTCAGCACAGTTTCGGCGTCAGCTTCCACCATTTCAGACTCCAGCCAAACAGATCTCAGCCTTTCTGCTCAATTTAACGAAAGCCTTCGGTGGGATGGGATCCTGGAGGACCCCGCAGCAGAGGAGGAGAGGCTGCAAACCTACAGGCTGAACAGAAGGAAGCGATACGAGCTGTACCTGCAGCAACACCACCCCACTGCAGGGCATCCCCCATCACTGCGCTCCCATCACACAGAGCATCGCTGCAGTTCTTTTCCAAGGCAGCAAACAGCTCCTGAATTCTGAGCGAGCCCTCCGAGCTGCAGCCTGAGCTGGCAGCAGAAAGCTCTCAGAGAGCTGTGCAGCTCAGCACCCACTGCTCACTGGTTTGTAACGGCACAAAGAATGGGATATTTGCAGGGGGGGGAAATGATGTATTTATTTCTATGCAAACACCATAAGAACCACGGAAAAGCTTTGAGTGAAAAAGGAATGAAAGACAACGAGGCCTCCCTGCATTACGCTTTTCAGATGGTTTATTATCAGTGAAGTAAAAGACAACTGAAAATGAGAGGGGGGGACAAACTCCACGGCCATCAGAGCACTTGCACAGAGCTGACCAGAGCTTCGCAGATGTTGGAGCATAAATAATGTAAAAAGTATCTCTACTAATTAAAATACGTTAAAAGGCATCGGCTTGCTTCATAAAAACCAGGTTGTGCCACCTTGTGCCTCAGTGGACCTTGGGGTTGTGTTTAAGGGACCATCTTGGTGTGGATTTGAGATGCATCCCCTAAATTCCGCTGTCTGAAGCTGATGTGTTTAATGACAACACCGTGCTGCTCTTCATCCTGGAGCAGAGCCCACCTGAACCTGTGCCACCCTGGAACTGTTTTGGGATTTGGTTACCTGAAGCAAAGATGAAGGACGTTCCATTCTGAGCTAATAAATAAGTACAAAACCAAAAGGACGACAAAACTCAAACCCGCACCAACTCAAACCTGCTTCCCTGTTGCAGTCTCCCAGATCAGTTCATGCTAAAGTACATTTCCATACCATTCACCCCATGTGCACATACACACCGTAAGCACAGCTCCAGGACAGGCCCCTGGGTCTCTAACTCACTAAATCCTCGTTAGATGCAGGTTGAGAGCTGCCATTGCAACCTGAAGTTGTTCCCTTCGGCCCCACAACTCTCCTGCTGCACATGGCAGCGGTTCCCTGCAGCCCAAGCTGTTACCCCATCCTCATCCCTTCTCTGCTGCCTGGAGCTGCAAAAGCAGTTTCTCTCCTGCTCTACACTTCTTTCCAAATCACGCCTTCAGACCAGACACGAATGCCGTTAACATCTCAGATCTGTTAAGCACAGCACCCCAGACTTTCTGTTAGTTCTTCCCAGCAGATTCCAGGAGGCCATCCTTCCAGAGGAGAGTCCCATAATCCGAACCAAAATGAATGACAGCTCTGGCTGTACATAACCCAGCGACCTGGTGGTTTGTCTGCAAGAGCGAACAGCCCTTATCTTTGCACATCCCCACAAAGCATCCAATACACTTCCCCCAGCCCAATTCTATCCCACATTCTATTATTTTTTCCTCTGGGAAAACGCTTCCCCTTCTTTCCATCCGCACCGCGGGGTAGGGGAGGGAACCCTTTAACAGCAAAGAAATCCCTCACTGAGTCACACCCCCACTGAAAACCACCTTCGGGTCGTTCTGACGCTTAAAGCAGGAATAGGAGCTGAGCAAGAGGTGGGGACTGCAAAGGT